TTCTTATTCTCTTCAATTCAATCTCCTAATGATAGGCATTTCATTTCCGATTGCTGCTATATACTACTTATATCTGTTTGCATAAGTAGTATGCACCATATATACATGATAATGTGTCTTTTAAAATAATTTCAACTAGTTAATTAACTAAGTCAATATGTAAAACATAAAAGACAATACAAGTATTAATCAAAAAATAAAACTTCCCCATGTTATATCCCGATGAGAATAATGAAATGGTAACTCTTGGAATATATTTCTGGACTATTACTATACGTACATTTTTATCGTATAATTGTTAATTAACTAAACTATTCATATTCGTGTCCCTCTTATTACGAGCTTTATTTCGACCTATGAACTATTATGATACGATTTACCATTCTTGAGTTATTTCCAGTTTATTAATCACAGTCTCCCACATTCATAGCCACATTTGGCTAGATCTTGGTACAAAAGTTATTTTCTATTTTATGGTACGATGTGGTCTGTTTCAGAACGACCAGTGAAAAGCAAGGAAGGCAAGGTAATCACCAACATTGAAGAGTAACAAAACAGGTGGGTAGAACACTTCAAAGAACTCTTGAATCGACCAGCTCCACTGAAGTCACCCAACATCGAAGCAGCACCCACGGACCTCCCAATCAATGTTGGCCCACCAACAATCGAAGAAATCACCATGGCCATCAGACAAATCAAGAGTGGCAAAGCAGCAGGATCGGACAACATCCCAGTAGAGGCACTAAAAGCAGACGTAGCGGCAACTGCAAGGATACTCCACATTTTCTTCAATAAGATTTGGGACGAGGAACAAGTACCAACAGACTGGAAAGAAGGACTTCTGATCAAAATACCGAAGAAAGGCGATCTCAGCAAGTGTGATAACTACAGGGGCATCACTCTTCCCTCAATACCGGGTAAAGTCTTCAACAGGGTATTGCTAAACAGGATGAAGGACTGCGTAGACGCCAAACTTCGTGAACAACAGGCAGGATTCCGTAAGGATAGATCGTGTACAGACCAAATCGCAACTCTACGGATCATTGTGGAACAATCAATTGAATGGAATTCATCACTCTACATCAACATCATTGACTACGAAAAGGCATTTGATAGCGTGGACAGAACAATACTATGGAAACTTCTTCGACACTACGGCGTGCCTCAGAAGATAGTTAATATCATACAGAACTCATATGATGGATTACACTGCAAAATTGTGCATGGAGGACAGTTGACAAAGTCGTTCGAAGTGAAGAACGGTGTTAGGTAAGGTTGCTTACTCTCACCGTTTCTCTTTCTCCTGGTGATCGACTGGATCATGAAGACGTCAACGTCTGAAGCGAAGCGCGGGATACAATGGACATGTAAGATGCAGTTGGATGATCTAGACTTCGCAGACGATCTGGCCCTTCTATCCCAAACGCAACAACAGATGCAGGAGAAGACGAACAGTGTGGCAGCAGCCTCAGCAGCAATAGGTCTCAATATACACAAAGGGAAAAGCAGGATTCTCCGATACAACACAGGATGCACCAATCCAATTACAATTGACGGAGAAGATTTGGAAGATGTAAAAACCTTTACATATTTGGGCAGCATCATTGATGAACAGGGTGGATCTGATGCAGATGTGAAGGCCCAGATCGGCAAAGCAAGAGCAGCATATTTACAACTGAGGAACATCTGGAACTCAAAGCAATTGTCAACCAACACCAAGGTCAGGATTTTCAATACAAATGTCAAGACAGTTCTACTGTATCGGGCGGAAACCTGGAGAACTACGAAAGCCATCATCCAGAAAATACAGGTGTTTATTAACAATTGTCTACGCAAAATACTTCAGATCCATTGGCCGGACACTATTAGCAACAACGTACTGTGGGAGAGAACAAACCAGATCCCAGCGGAGGAAGAAATCAGGAAGAAGCACTGGAAGTGGATAGGACACACATTGAGGAAAGCACCCAACTGCGTCACAAGACAAGCCCTCACATGGAATCCTGAGGGTCAAAGGAAAAGAGGAAGACCAAAGAACACATTACGCCGAGAAATGGAGATAGACATGAGAAAAATGAACGAAATTGGATGGAACTATAAAAGAAGGCCCAGGACAGAGTGGGTTGGAGAATGCTGGTCAGCGGCCTATGCTCCATTGGGAGTAACAGGCGAAATTAAGTAAGTAAGTGGTCTGTTTGGCTGGTGTACATAAACCCAGTATGTTTGAAATACATAATTCATATCGCAGAGGCTGAGATTAATGTTCTGGAGTTAAAAAGCAGGGCTAGACGGGAAGCACGACCGATAAGGATGCTAGACTGCTTGTACTTATTTTATGCATCATTGGTTTGGTCGATAATTCACTGTTCTCTAATTCGCTGTATCATCATGTGAAACATTGACAGAACACACAAGCCACAAGTTATAACACCCTAAATTGTGTCAATCATTAAAAACAGTAGGATATTTCATTACAAGAAAAACAGAAATTTTCTTCATTATTCCAGTTTTTACGTTTTCCATCGTTTCTTCTGGCTAGAATATGAGAAAAAAATCCATATTGTGTTTTTCTAATCTTCGTTTATTGACATTGTGATAGTATATAATTGGAATGTGATTTTTTTCTTGGAAAACGTATTTTTGCATGTTTAAGTAAAAGTTATGCTAAAATAAGGTTGTTGTTGTTGTTTTACTGAAAACTATATAGGACAATAGACATGTATTAGGGAGTGACCATAGTTAAACAAGCACTGGAAACTAGAATACATTGGATAGTGGTTACGCTCAACCACAACTCCATTATAGGAGATCGAATCCAGGACCTTTGGTCATGTGGATGGATGTTTAACCTGTAGATCACCAAGTGTTTTGATGGGTGGAGTTCGAAATATGTTACTGATACACGATGTGCTACGCGATAACCTCCCCCCAACATTACTACTTGAGCGAAAACACGAGACTGGACGTGAAGGTATATTAAGATAACGAATAAGATGCACAAATATTCTTATATATATATACCTCTCAATCCATTTCTTAGCCAGTGATATATACTCCTTCAGGGAACTTTTCATTGCCATCGATTGACCGCGTCTAGCTTCTTCTGATTGGCTCTTTATATCATCGAGCTGGTATCCAATGGTGTACATGGTGAGAATATAATTTATAGACGACCTTTGGTTGACGCTAAAGTGAACTTAAGGACGTCCACCTACTAACTAGGACTAAATGAGGGTTATAAATCAGTGTGAGGAATTAGAATTATGATTTACAGTTGATGGTTAGGGTTAAGAATTAGATTTTGAGGTTTTCATCACCAACTAACATCAGCTATAATGCCAAAGCGCTATTTAGTCAAATGGATGAATGAATTTCGCGACAAAACCCTAGACCTGTTATCTTATATCTGATTGGTTCGTCCGTAAATTATAATCTCATCATGTACATCTCTAACTTCAATCAATTCGGAATATCAAGCAACTATTCTTCAATGTACTTGATGAGTACCTGTCTCACATACGACATGGTTGAATTCTACAAGAACTTCGGAATATTACCTTTTGATTTTATTCAGTAGCGAGCACATAGCTAGTTACTTTAGGTGTTTGTAGAGATTCTCCAATTTTATAGTACTAATTCTTTTTAAGGTCACTATCAAATGAATAGAAGTACTATTCGTTCATAAAAGTATACAGTCCCCACTTATATATATTGACCGACATAATCAAGTACTCAGGATTGTTAATTGTATGATCTATATGGAAAAGTCGGATTGCACCACACCACAAGTCCTCTGGCATTTTGTAGAAAACACAATCTAGTTATTTGTTCTTCATTGTCTGATATGGATTTACCAAGCGTGTCACAGTCAAACAATCCAGATAAAGAGAACGAATAAAGCAAAATTGATGGCATGAGAAGCAATTTTTATTAGAAATTACATCCCAAAAAGCAGCAGTGATTCTTGAAATGAATGAAGTAATGACGGGATATTAGGTATTTCAGTGAATATTTTTAGATAAAACTAAACTACTTATATGTAATAAGCAGTACAAAAGTAAATTCCTAAAATTATAATTCGGGATTTACTCAACGTAGTCACGTATCAAAAAGCTATCACCATTGGAGTTCAAACAAGTCGGACGAGACAGTGCAAGATGTTTGTACGATATTCGTATTTATTCAAGTTGATAAGGTGAACTGCCCACCAGGAGATTCGGAAGTCCTAAGTTTAATTGCCTCTAGTGGGGTCATGAATCTCTATTACTGAGAAGTTCCATATTGGGACGAAATAGATGTTCATTGCTCCTAGTTTTTAGTGGTTGTCTAACTATGGTCAACCCATGATAGAAACCACCAAATCCAACAATCTCCACAAATACCTTTAGAGTTTTAAATCATACTTAGTTAAGCCTATTTCACTAAGAAAAACTATCTAACTCTTCATGATCTCAATCAAAAACTTAATAATCTCCACAACCCTTATACTAGTAATCAACATGTGCTCACTAGTGACCAGCTTCGTGAAGGAATTCCTGGAGTTCTATTGAGAAGCCGTGACCAGTGGAGCTAATCCATGTCGGGTAGAGACAGGTATCTACCTCAGTACAATGGAAGTTGGTCGCGCAATTTCGTGGATTGGTTGATGTTAGACACTATCACCATTGGAGGCCGGTTCAGTGGTCCAGTAGGTTAAGCGTTCGCTTACGAGACCGAGGGCCCTGGGTTCGAACCCCGCGAGCGGGATCGTGGATGCACACTGTTGAGGAGTAAGTCTCACAATAGGACGAAACGGCCGTCCAGTGCTTCCAGGTTTCCGAAGATGGTCTAACATCAATCGGTTCATGATCTCAATCAAAAACTTAATAACCTCCACAACCCCTATACTAGTAATCTTCTAAATAATACAATCTAACATTCAATACAATTCTCTGTTTAAATTGATTTTAACTAATCAATCACTTGATTAGTAAATAACACAAGTAAAAGGCAGAAACAATAAACGACCAAATTATATTTACAATGAAATACTACATTTTGCAGTAGGACAGTGGAAATAAATAAAACTTACTGAAGGAACTTAGAATAAGCTCTATACAAAAAAAGACATATTACAAGTACTATTTACATATTCACATAAAATGTTGGTAGTTGGGCAGCGAGATGAAAAACAATTCTATATTTGACCAATAAGAAATCAAAATCCATATTTAGCTCGATTTGAAGCCTTATTACGTCTTGCTTCCGCCCAACGTTTTTCTAATTCCATTTCATTTTCTTGAGCCTATTTGAATAGAATTGTAAAAAGAGTAAGGACTTAAGTGATAAAGTAGAATTTTGAAAAAAAAACACGATGAAGTTTTCGAGTTGCAATGTTTCTTTTAACTTCACCATATGTCTAATATACGTAGGCTATTGCAAGTCATTAAATATAAATATCTTTTATGCTGTATTTATGCATTTGCACACAAAATGCGCTGGTACGGCCGAGAGTGGAGAGAGTCAACTCTCCCTCTCTAAATGCTTTCATATGGCTACGTGCATACAACCACTGTCAGGGAAGTCCTACTCACTGCCTTCTCGCGGCATTAATATTGTCTAGAAGGTTGACAGGACGAAAAGCGAATGTCCGTCGGTCGGTGGACACGGAGAGTTAACCTACGGGAGTTGGAAAACCCTGACTCCAAACCAATGGTGCACATGGGCTCCAGGATTCTGAAAGAATGAATGGCGTATGAACCAGTTGTTGGCCACCGGTTACCATGGGACTGAATCTCCTGACGTTATTCCACTCAATGCCTTGTGGGTCAGACCTTTATGTCAAAAGCTCGGGGTGTGGCCCCCTAAGAAAACCATCTACTTCGGTTTGGGCACCTGAGCAGTATCCCAGCCCTCACACAAATTGAAAGATTTATGTGGCGCAAATCTATTTGGTGCCTCCTTGTACTCATGTTTGTGTTTAAATAAGTAAATAAATAAATAATAACGACTGAAGATGAGGAAAGTTCGCTTTATTTTTCGAAATACTCCCATATAGCCACGCATTTATAACCACCGTCTTCACGTGATGGTATTACATAAGAAAGAAGATGGAAAGAGAAAATTCAGTGTTTAAACCACGTTGGTGGATATGGAGCGTCTACCTTGGGGATTTGGAGAACTTTAATTCCATAACAATTGTGCATGTGTTCTATGATTCTGGTGAGACGAGAGGCATATGAACCCATTTCGGTCACCGGTGATCATGGTACTGCATCTCCTGACTTTGTTTCACTATCATATGGATTAGGACTAGAGAAAAATAACTTTAAGAAAACCACGTGCCTCACCTTGGGCGCCTGAGTAGTACCCCAAGCCATAAACAAGTTTTATTTTGTGCGGTACATACTACTTTCGATGCTGTATTTTAACAACATTTCTGACTGACACTGGATAAAGTGGGTTCGAAATTTCATGGAAAGCATAGTTCCTTCAAGGTATTCGTTGTTGATAAGTGGCAACTAGCATGAAGCCTAAGTTTATGGCATCCAGCTGATACACTCCAAACAATTCACAGTCTACGTCCAAACAAACGTATATATTAACTACAAAAATAGTAATTAACAATTTCACCAAAATATATGACAAATAACCAAGTAACAACATACGAAATAATGCTATTAAAAGAAGAAAAAAAATCATACTTGATGAGCTAGCCAAGTGATTTGATGCTTTCTATGTGCTAATTTGCCAGGATCATCATCTGTAGACTTTGGTCTATACTGTGAATCATCACTTGTAACAGATTTAATCAGTTCTAATTGAGCACCAGCTGTTAAATCAGATTGATTAATTGATATCACTTCTGTATTTGTTGATTGTAATAATTCATTTACAGCAATATTGTTGGATTTTGTACCAGGCATAACAAGACGTGCACGTTTACGCTAAAATCAAAGTAGAAAATTTATTACAATAAACTAATAATAATTAAGACGTAATGTAAATAATCCCAATTATCAGTTAGAATTGTCTGATATGTTTATGTATGTTACATAATAATGAAAGTGTTTGGAAATAACTAGTTTTTGTATAGAATAGATGGGATGTGGTAAGCAGTGAAGTGCAGGAAGTATGTTACATAGTGTATGAGACTCGTCAGCCAGATATACTTGCATCCCAAAGTTGATGTTCGTTCCGAGACTTGAACTAAGTACCTTTCGCTTCAAACGTTAACGCGCTCCTGGATTTAATCCTTAACCGCATTCCATCTAATCTATATAAACTAGTGTTGTAGTAGCTATATCGAAGCAATCCGCACATATACATATATCTTAGCTAAGACTGATTAAACTTCAGTCAAAATATCAACAATGGGACAATCCAAACAATCACAAATTAAAACAACTAGTTCTGGCTTCCAATACCTCTTAATTATTGAATAATTGTTAAGATGAGTTTCAACGGGTCTCCGGAAGTATGACACTGTTGTACTGAAATATGACTGTTTTTTTACAAATATATTAATATTAAGTTCTGGACTGTGTAAGAACACTGTCTCTAAAAGTATATACACATGAATAACTGCCTTAAATTTTGAGACACGAAGCAACAGTCCTAAATGTCCATATGAATCTCTAGTTTTTTAGACACTAATTCGTTTACTATGGGTCTGTTATTTGGAAATCCAGTTCGAGAGCCTATTTATTCCATCTAATCCGTCAACCACAATCAAGAAAGTACAAGTATTTATAAATAACTGTCTACGCAAGATACTCAACATCCATTGGCCGGATACCATCAGCAATAGCCTTCTGTGGGAGAGAACAAACCAACTTCCAGCTGAAGAGGAAATTAGGAAAAGACGATGGAAATGGATAGGACATACATTACGCAAATCGTCAAACTGTATCACGAGACAAGCCTTAACTTGGAATCCTGAAGGGAAGCGGAAAAGAGGAAGGCCAAAGAACACATTACGCCGGATAATAGAAGCAGATATGAAAAGGATGAATTACAACTGGAAGGAGCTGGAAAGGATTGCCCAGGACAGGGTTGGATAGAGAATGCTGGTGAGCGGCCTATGCTCCTTCATGAGGAGTAACAGGCGTAAGTAAGTAAGTAAGTAAGTAAGTAAGTAAGTACGTAAGTAAGTAAGTAAGTAAGTAAGTAAGTAAGTAATCCGTCAAATGAATGTTTTTTTTTACCAATTACACGTCTTATACTAGGATTTGAGTTACTGATTTTGTAAGAGCTAATGATACCACTAGACTGTGTAAATCCAAAGTTGGAGTAGGGTTTGAACACGTGACTTATTGGTTGAAAGAATACTTTAACCACTGCTTCATACGCGTAAAGTAACTTTATATTTCACTTTTCGACGTTTGGTGGACTAATACAACAGATCATTTCAGGATTCAAAGCAACCAAAACAGTGAACGGAAACTACTTATAAAATACACAGTAGTGTATAAACAAGCATAAATGTTTACCCGATATAACAGACGATGAGAGCCCTGTATCAAAGTTGTCACACAATTCATATTAGTGAAATGAGAATGCAGTAACAGAAAGGAAGTTGAGCAAAGTGGAAATCATAAGACTAATAGCATTTTCAAAAAGTTTGCAAAATGGGAAAGAAAACAAGTGAAAACGTAAAATCAATGGCAAATGCTTAGAGTACGACGAGTTGATATACTCCAGATACTAAAATTCATTCAAAATGGAATCCCTGAAAATCTCGAAACGTCATTTATTGACCTATAGCCAAAAGGCTTACAGCTTTTTCATACGCCTAATGAACAAGTAATCCTATTCCAGTTAACATTAGTCACAATATTACCAAATACCCTTTTCTTTTTTACTTAAAACTCTTCTAAACACAGTTACAGATGCAGAATATGGGGAGAAAACTCTAACGAAAACTACAATACCGTGTACAACAGCTCTATTTGCTTTGAGCCTACCACTCCAACTACTCTAAACGACCGATTTACTTAAGAAGACTTCCTGGATGAGAACGATGAGAATTGAGTCTACATTTAAGTCAATTCAACTACATATCAATTCGGTTACAAAGTGCCTTTAATCGACTAATTTTCACTTGACAAAAAATCATAGTGAAATAACAAGGAAAATGCAATGAGAATCAAATAACTAATTACAACTGATAGTTAATGAATAGAATTCATGACAATATGCTGAAGCTGACTGGACAAAAATTGTTGTATCTGAAAGAAAACTAAAGGAATGGTAACTGCCAAGATTAATTTATGGACTATTACTGGATAACTATTAAGTTGCTAGATTATATATACACATATGTATCAATTCATTTTATCATGAGTTTCCATTTGACCCATTAACTACCATTATATGATTTACTATCCTTAATCTGTTGCCAGCTTGTTATTTGCAGTCCTCCCTACCCACAGCCACGCTTTGGGTTGATCATATATAGTTCGTAATTTTTATTTTATGGTATTATGTGGTTGGATAAATCTGTATATAAACGACGTATGTTTAAAATACAATATTTGTATAGTGAAGGTTAATTACTGTGTTCTAAGTTCAGCAGCTATGAGAGGGAGAAAAGCTACGGAATCGAGGACCAATAAGGACTTAACAAAGGGTCAAGGCTACTGGTGCTATCTGGCGTATTATTGGTCATCCTAAGAACATAAACTTAGTGGGCGGATATAAGTCATAATAAAAATCACCTCAAACCGATATACAAATTGTAAGATTCAATTTCTCTCTCATACTTTGTATTTTGGGGATATAGCAACTCCAACAAGCATATACTTTCAAATACAAGTGAAACTGATTGATATTCACAAGTCACCTTATCAGTGCTTAAATGACCATAACATGTTAATCATGTATACAAACTGCGTGGTAGTAGAAATACACAAAAAGTTTCTTTGGAGAACTAATGATTTGTAAGAATTATGTAGAAAAATCATTTTTAATTAGCTAGTGGCGAATTGGGTAATATGTTACACAAGATAACCGAATCGTTGACAGCAAATTTCTATTGATCAATCGATTAAATAATGCACTGATTTATCAATCTATATACTAAGTGATTTATTTAGTCATCAACTAATTGACTACCACACTTAACTAACACCTATTATCCTCGTTTTACTGCTACCCACAGATTGGGTGAATTTAGATGCTCACAGCCATCAGTGACCTTGATCACAATTAGAGCCGCCCACTGTTTATGTTCTATCTGGATTTCGAATAAACGGTGAATTTATCGACATGTTCGACTACTTCACTCCCTATCCTTAGTTTAGGTGTTGATGCAGGCCAATCGTGTAGCAACAATTTACATTTAGAAGGGGCGAAACGCATCCTAAACATTGTGGTATTGTTGCTCAGTGCTACCAGAAGACTGTACTTTATCAGCGTCTTCACCAAACAGGACTATGTCATCCGCGTAATCCAAGTCAGCAATATCCTATTGGGAATGTATGAACACAAGTTTAACAAAATAAAACAGATATACGGGATAGAAGTTCTAGTAACGCACATCGTTTATAAGTAGTGTCAAAGTGTAAGCAATGATTTTGTGTAAATTATAAGGTTTGGAATTTTCAAAACGGATTGAACCCTTGACTCTAGGGTAATCTTATTCGCTTAATCGTAAAACAGACATATTTACAAAAAGACGGCTGGTTTCGAAGATCGAATTAGATCAAATTATCACCTTGAATAAATTCGTTGATTGCACCTTTATACTAAACCTGTGTCTTAATTAAGTTATTCAAATGAAACATTTATCTTCATAATGACCTGTAGACTACGATAATTGTTACAAAATTAGAAACAATGCCAATAATGGTTAATATCAGCGAATTCGGAAAGTTAATATGATTATTATTAGCTGGAAGATTAAAAGACCATTTAAAAAGAATTTAAAATACCTCTGGACCTGGAACGAAATTCTCTTCTGTCCAAAAGACCTTTTCTTCAACATCCTCTTTGTCATCTTCTTCTTGGTCAGCGATTTCTTTTTTAACAGAAGACATTTGACGTAGAATTTCCGGATCACTTATAGTAACCTTTGGTAAACACTCTTCCCATGATTTTGCAGTGAGTCGACTAGTAGTTGAGTTTTCATCATGTGACAACTTAACTGTTATGAATGAATTACTATCATCATTGTCTACAGTTAATGGTTTGCTAGACAACTCAGCTTTTTTTCGAGTTGCTTGTAGTGCCGATAGTGCGGCTGCTCTTTCTGAAGCGACAGCTTCATGATTATTAGGTGTAGGTTTGTAAAATGAAAAGAAACTAACTTCTTCAGCATCTTCATCAGCTATCTCTAAAGTGTCTTTATCAGAATCTTGTTTGCTGGTTATGTCAGCATCCCAAACGTCATCGTCATCGTTGTTATTCTGAAAGCCTGGTTTCTGTCCAACATTTTCAGGTTTGGTTTTCATAGTCAATGTCTCTTTAACAGTATGACTTGTATTCTTTTTACATATTAGTTGATGTGGTATCATTGGTCTGTTCCCTTCTCGGACAATAAGTGCACGTGTTGGTGGAAGGACAGAAAGAAGGCTAACTTTATCTGTTCCAGGTTTAGAATTTCGATAGGACTGCAAATAGAATACAATCATAAATGACTTAGACATTTATAACTGTCAATAAAATCAAAACCATGTAGAAATCTAATTGAAGAAGCAACGTCATGAAATTTAGTCTAATTTATACTACTTATAGCCATGTCAATGGGCTAGCTATTACCAAAAGTTTAATCGTGACTAGTAATTGATGGGAGCTCGAATAATTTTAATATATTGTGAGTCTTGTGTAAATTCAAGTAGTGTGTCTCTTTGATGTAAAAGCACAGCTTATCGACAATGATTATCGATGTGTAAATACTAGTCTCAGGGTATCACCTCATTAACCAATGAAATAAGTTGACTCTTAGGGGATATAAAGCCATTTACTACAACAAGACATTTCTAAGCTTAGACCTGACAAACTGCAATAAACTTATTTATACATGTAAAATAAGCCATGATATAGTCTCTAAATCTCTACGCTTTCTTTCTTCAATATATCGCCTTCTAATTATGTGCTGAACTACAATATGTTTATGAAAAATAGGGATTGAAAATACGAGACATTCATAGACCATAGGTATTTGACCATGGATGTCTTCTTAACTTGGCTCGTATACATTGAAGTAATTGGGCGTCAAACGTTGATACCATGCTCTAGGTAAATTAGCTAAACCACTTGATAGAAGTGCAAACTTTCACAAATTTGAGTAGTACGGCGAACTAAAAATTCTACGGGTTTAGTGATAGTTATATGTTACCGGATGGGACAAGACTAGGCTGGAAAAAATCAAGTGACCAAATAAGGATATAGTTATTCATTCTATTTTTGATATTAAACGATCTATTGAGTATATCTAAATAGCTTTAGTATGTCATTAGAAATCAGGAATATTAGGTAATATACTTTAAGATATATTTATATAATTAATAAGGGCAGGATTAAGCATATGACTCATTCAATGTCATTTTTTAACCGCAACGTTTTTAAGGTCACGTAGTAGTGAGTTCGACATAAGTCGCAAGTGCTGGTGCCGTTAAAAATGCAACGGGAAACGAGTTAGAGAGAATCAGGATAGGTCTTCTCGTATCGAACAGAAAGCAAGTATAAGCACTGTTTGCAGACTCATAAACTAATTCTTCATTCTTCTAGAGGCATGAACAACACAAAGTATATAAACTTACAGAAAGCTATTTACTATAATGCTATCGGTTTAGTTAGGGTTTATCGAGGATTTTTATCAGAACCAGCTACATCACATGGTTTCTCAAATGCATTTCCATGGTAGCCGATGACCGTCAATTGGTCCATACGCCATTTGTTTGCTCATGATCCTGGAGCTCATGTGCACCACTGGTTTAGAACCAGGGTTTTCCAACTTTATTTATTATTTATTTATTTGAACACATAAATATTGGTACAAGAGAGCGCCAATATATATGCGCCACACAAAACAATGGGAATTCGAAGAGAAGTAGAAAGAAAAAAAGAAAAAAAAACTAAGGAACGCAAAAGAAAAAGAGAGTAATGACGAAGAGGTACAATCAGAAGAAATCTTTCAGTTAAGTAAGATACAACCACTTTTATGAAGAAAGTAAAAGAAGGTTACAGCAGGATCGCCACTGGCTTCTATTCTGAGCCATATCTGATAACGTCTCTAGCCACTGTGTTGCACCATCTCTCGGACCCCAGCCAGGGAGTCGTGAAGGACCAACACAAGCCAGTCCTTTGCAGCTTTCTTTCATGCCACGACACCATGTCATGCACTGACCACCTCTCCGCTTCTTCCAACCAGTCCCAGAGTCGGCAAATAATGCACGACGTGGAATTCTCTGGGACGACATTCGGAGAACATGTCCAAGCCACCGAAGTCGGTGTTTCAAGATGGTGACACCAATTGCATTATCATCTCTGTGCCCGAACACACGATGCCGAACCTCTGCATTACTGACATGGTGTTGCCACTGAATGTCAGCAATCCTTCGGAGACAGCGATGATCGAACACAGAGAGTCGTCTAACGTCCTCAACTCGGAGAGGCCAGGTTTCACAAGCATAGAGCAAAACTGCTCTCACCGACGCGTTGTAGATCCGGCCTTTTACAGCCAGACTAACATCACGAAGGCGCCAAAGGTGGCCCAGATTGGCATAAGCCGCTCTGGCTTTCACTATTCGTGCATTGATCTCATCACTCACACCCCCACCAGCACTTATGTAGCTACCCAGATAGACGAACTTCTCAACTACGTCTATCTGCTCACCATCCAGAGTGAGTTTTCCAACTTCCCTAGGTGGATCCTCCATATTCACAAACCCGCTTAAAGAACCGGACATCGCTTTTCGTCCACTCAATTTCGTAAATAACACCCCGCTACGAGAAGGTAGTCAGTAGGACTTTCCTGGCAGTGGCTGTATACGCGTGGCCATATAAGAGCGTTTCGAGAGGGAGCTGACTCTCCTCACCGTCGGTTGTACCAGGGCATTTAGGGGTGAAGGTAAATAGACAACAAAGTAAACTATCTCACTAATGATCGCTTTAAGAACAAACATATTAATGAAGCAGTATTACTGTGGTTTCTTGCAATATGAAATATACATTTAAGTTTTACGCCTGATTTACCGAAGAGAATTCATTTAACGGAATTTTTTAAGTAACCAATGGGAGAGAACAATTTTGAAAACATTAATAAACATATGCAAATCATAACTTAAGAATCAAAGCTAATGACTGAAAAAACAATTCTGCAGAGTTATATGAAAACTTAATTGCAAGAGACTTAAGAAAGCTAATACAGGTAGGAGGAGGGGTCTGAAAATATATAAGTTATGTTTAGATTTTAAAATAATGGGTTACGATTTCAGAATAATGTACACCTCTCTTCCGAATTAGGATCCTATTGCCATCCTCAAATGTATTTTCACTGCAAGATGAAGAGTCAATAACCCACATTTTTAAAACACGTGGCAGGCGGTATACTTTTCTCCATAGTTTTAACACCAGATAATAACGATTCGGATAATAGCCTTCTTGAAGCCAACATTTTGTCAAGGATTTGTCAAGTTTTAATAGAAAATACCATAACGTTAAGCTAAACCATAAGCACAAATCGTTAAATACTAGGACTAACACATCAAACTTAGAAACAAACCTTACTTGTGTGGTAGGATTACGAACATCCAATGTGATTATTAACTTGTCTAATCACGTGGTTGTGATGTTTTATTTGAGAAACAACAAATCAGAGTAAAGTGGTATATTAGATTAGTCGAAGGTGGGAACTTTTGAGACCTATCTCAATTAGGTACTCATCTATAAATAAACAACAATAAACTTGAGCTATGTTGGGGAACAAAGATTCACCACATATAACGAAGTTTTAAAGCCATTAAGTAGATGCTAAGAACTGCTGTTTCAATGTGTCATCGAATTTACTCTTTACTGAGACGTTCCCTCAAATTACCAAGATTTTCACCATTACCCCCCTCCTGTTCTGATTGCCTGGGTAAGACATTGTTTAAATCAAAATAGACTTTGTTGTTTTACAACCTGACTGTAAGGTGCTTGGTCTATGGGCTTCGTAAGATTCCCTAATAATAAACTAAGAAAACTACTACCTACTTTGTCTGGCCAAGTATTCGACATGTCTAATGTTGGGCGGAAAAAAACAAAGCTTTAGAGACACTGTAACCAACATCCTTAGGTGAAACAAAATCACATAACTCATAGATTCATTAAAACTGCCACAAAGCAACACCTCATGTGACTACACAAAATAAATATAACACAACGGATGGCATCAAAATTCATTTGAAGGAAAACTGGCATGTAACGTACGTACCTTATTCTTAGCTGAACGACTGCTTTCATCGTCACTGTCATCTGACGAATCCAACTGCAAATAAATTAAAATGCACGATATTGTACAATAAATATGTACTTACCGCTTCCAAATCGGGGACGGAAAGCAAAACCTTACCGTCTTTTGTTTTGACAATAGGAATGTTTGGGACAAGGTTAGGTAGCTTAGCACTTTTAGGGACTCTCATTTTAAACTCAGGTTCAACTCGATCTTTTAATATACTGTTAGCTGTTGTAGTACTCTCGTTGCTGACAACCAAATCCTCTTCATCATCTTGTTGATAAAACCGTGACTTTTACACTAAACCTACCATTAGATTCCTCCCCCGAACTCCCATAGGAAACTAAAGCCATCACACGGACCTGTGACGTAGATTTCAAAAACGACGGGAGTTTTTTATATCCAAAATTATTCAAATGGTTGTGGCTGAAGTTTTAGCTTAATGGGATTCCGTATCCAGTAGCCGTGAGTAACCGATACCTTATGATACGAACCTAAGTAAGGTTAATGGTGAAAAAGAGAAATGATATCAAATCGTAGCGAAATATTGTCCTGAGTCCCTAATAATATGTCAAGCTTACTCCTGGGAAGTCGCCTTGACTACCTCATCTGGCAGCAAATTCAAGAATTTAACTACACATAAGTAGCAAAAGGTGTCTCTACGTTCCATTTCGCCAAGTTAAGTCTCTAATTTCTGAATGTTACCTCTAAGGTATGTGCTGGGACAGAGCACAACGAAGTATTTAAATGGGTGCTCAGGAGTGTTTAGGATGCCATAAGTCATTAAAAGGTCACGACTGAGACGTTTGTACTCTAATGGACAAAGATTCGGTGATTTGAGGCGCTCTTCGTAAAGGCCGAATTCGAGTCTTCGGACTGATTCCGTGGCTTACCTCAACCCAGTGTATTCTCATCCTTTAGGAGTGAGGGAGATGACGCTATATTCCCATTTTCTAAATGAGGTATATATAAAACTGTAAAGGATTAGGTGGAAAGTTCTCCTATTAAACTGACTAAAGATGCGATTCATCATTATCAGTGCAAGGTTTGCTTGAAAAGCAGCTAGTGTAAGACCTTAGACTTCATGGTACCACGATCCCTTGATCATTTTTAACTTAAGACACTTCTAGAGGAGAGTTGTACGCATAGTCTGCGACGTGTCTCAGATAGATTACCTCATACTTTGAAGTGTTAAAAGTAAGTCTGTCGTTACTTGTCCAACACTGAGGTCGAACCAAATCCTCCTTAATTGCTACCTTAGTTGCGAACTTCTCTCTAAAGTTCCACGTCATCAGCGAAAAGTAATAAATCGGATCATACTTCCTGAGGAAAGTCATTTATATAAATTAAAAGGAGAAGAGATCCTAGTACTGAGTCTTGGGTGGCCCCACAAGGACATTCTGTAGCCTAAGGAAATGTGAACGATCATTTCTGTCTAAAGCAACCCAGTTCATTAACGGGGACCCGATGCCTACGATTTTGAGCTTATTGATGAGAAATATATGACTGACCGTGTCAAAAGCTTCTGAGAAGTAAAAGTTTGTGACATCAACTTTCCCCTTGAGATCATGAATGGTTGTTTATCTATCAACCGCATTCACTAGGTTGGTTTATAGTAGTAACTCTTCCTGGAAACGGAATGTTGGGATGAAGAAAGTTTATGGATAACGAGCAGTCACACAGACCGTCGTGTATCTAGCACTCTAAGCTTATAGTGTAACGGCAGAACTGCTACTGTCCGGCAGTCTGAAGGTTCACTGAGTTTGCCTCCTCTGAAAATTAGTGTAATGTGAGCCAAGTTCCAATTTTCTGGGGCTGTGCCTCAGCTCAGAAAATCTGCGAGTGTCACATAGAACGGTGTGCCAAGATTGCAGACGATTTTTTCAGTATAGCGGAATGAATCGAAAGACATATATTTATTGCAATGCTGCAGTCTCTGATAAACCGTTCCAACGTACAGGATCACTTCTCAGACTGAATTCAGGTTGTATGTAAAGCTCCCATCGACGTATTTTGCATGTGACTGTTGAAATGCCTGAGAATATTAGTCTCCCAGGAGCTTTCTGGCATCTCTGTCGTTGTTGATCGGGCCATCAGGTCCTAACAACTAGGAAACTCCAGCTCAGAATTTTTGAAGAGATGTTGAATAACGGGATAATCTTTTCGGGTTGGAGAAAAATTTATAGATTTGCTTTATCTGGTACTGAAGTCTATCCTATTTTATCGGTTTCCTGCACTGATTCCTTGCTTGTTTGAACTTTTCTATGTGCCGTCTTCACTAGTTCCTTTGTATTCTGCTCGTTAGTATCTCTCTAGTCTTATCTTTTGAAGAGTGTGACTCGTTATGACTGCACGTTGCTCATAATTTTTAGTGGCCGTTTACGAAACGGATTAATTTGTAGCACGTACGATCATATGCAGTAAAATATCATGGTGAATGCTCACATCAAGTGGATGTTGGAGATTCAAATCCACTTGCTGTAGATTGTTCTGTAAAGCTGACATACCCAGCCGCTTGAAATCCCAACGCTCTCCATCGATGTCCAGGAGAGATCATTATTACTAAGGAGTAAGTAGCTAATCTGATGTTCTTCTGTGTTTTAGAAGAGCATCGTTTAATAATTTACGACGTTGAGTTTCAAACCATAATTTTCTGTGCATTTTTGAGATAATGCTAAATATCTTTTATTTCTTGTGAATCTTCTCCACACCTTGTGGCTCTCTGAAAAGCGCAGGTGAACCTGAGCATTCTAGTAGGTCTTTGATACATATGAGAAGCAGCTGAGAGCCCAGGATGGTTTCTTGCAAAACACTAGACACTGAAGTCCTCCAATTTGAATGCAATAGTGGTGAACGGTAATTCTCAATATCACGAATGTCAAACATGTGAAATAATATCATAAAACAACTCTGTACTACTGGGTGTAAATTTAGAGCAATTGTTTTTACTGTTTTAATTTTCTTATGGCTGACTGTCACCGTAATTGCAGATTCCATTGAGCTTGAGAAACTACGGACATGAGTGGTCAACAAAAAGTCTGTCATATTGATCGAACTATAGTAATACAGATTTAACACATTACTATGTGGAAATACCTTACTATTATTACCAGACAGTACGATAACGAAAATTGTATCAAGATAACACATCACTTATTCTGCTTAGTGAAGACCATTATTTACAATGACCACCATACCTTTATCAATATTCCTGAGCAACTAGTTTCGGGATTTTTTTCTCTCGTCACTTGGGTATAGCACTAGGGAGAGAAATCTAGGGTTTAGATGTGATTCTGATTGTCTAATGATATACTGGGTACAGGTGTTTGAGTCGTGAGAGTAAACTATGTGCATTAGCCTGATACCCATTATCTAATGTCAATTTGATGTTTTGGCAGCTTTCTTTAAAATTTGGGGTTCTTCACCTATTATCAGTGGCAGAATTTCTAAGAGTCCTCTTCGTTCGCAAAGTTAAAAGCTATATAGAACGACAGAATGCGGAGAAATTAGGGGGTAAGTCAGAAATTGGAATATGCATGAAATTACGATACATATTAACAATATATCATATTCGTTAATCCATTGCTTCAGTTCTTGGAGAATAGTCCTACATTTCACTTAAGTCCTATTTTAATTAGCTCTTATGAGAAGTAGATCACACTTGGCTGTGCGTCTTTTGGTAGTCAGAATCGTGGCAGCTTTTTTTCAGATCCTTATGATAGTCCAGACATAAAACCATGTTTTTGTTAAGCGACCCAAGCTAAGTCGTAAGCTGTAAACTTCGATCACGTTGCTACTTGTTGATCTGTTGCAAAGAGCGAACAACTAACCACAAGGTTAATCAGCTTACGGTTCTACACCCTCATTTATAAGGCCCTTATAGTGGAACACTTACCATTTTCTGAAATTTAACCTTCTCTTTTTGTGGGAACGTGTATGGGTTTTAAGAGACCATTTATACATTTGAAATGCCACTGATCATACTCAAATGTCTGTGAATATCCGTTTATGGTGTTTCGCCTGAGTAGCCAACGCTAGTGTTAAGGCATCTATTTGCAGATGGCACTGGTAAGACTTTTTCTAGATAATAAAGTGTTGATGACAACGGATGGAGTAGTCACTACATAGTATTTTAAGAGTGAGGACGTTTATAATATTGTTCTGGGTCATGAATCAATAAAGACAAATCAGGTAACCTTAAAATATATTAATTAGTTGTAATTAACCATGATTTCTAGTTTCAAATATATTGGCTTGATCGTGGCCCCTAAAAGCTAGCCGAATAAAATTCCATGAGAACTTAAACCTGAATCCCCTCTTTGGTATACCTTACAGCAAAAAGCAGTCATTTTGTACTGTGATAGGCTGTGGCTTGGATGTTGTTTACCAACTCATTCACGAGAGTACAAGTCGTATTGGCTTTGATGATAAATTAATTTCACTTATTATCAATGATTATGATTTAGATACAAGATCCATTTTAGTCTGCAGTGGCTAAATCTCACAAGTTTAATACTGACAACAAAAGCTGGTATTTGGATGCGTTTAATAGATGAATAGATTTTTAGGTAGCTAGTGGAATTTTTGATGAATTGCTACGATGATTTGATTAAATCGTGAAAATAATGCCGCGGAAGCCACTTGAAGTAGTTGGTGTTTACACCATACCACATATATAAGACAATACATCCCACTGATTAGACATTTGGTATTATTTTCACCTGTCTCTAGGCATTCAGTTAACGAAATACGAATGGACGTTTTAACCGTCATATGCTTCCTGATATGAGCGACTGCCCTCTGTTTTATTGTAGTTCATCCCTTGTCGTCCAAAAGGTTGATTCTACGGTGCACGAAAAATGCTAATAATATAACATGTTGACTCTCCTAGTCCGACATCACCTCGATGACCTCTTAACAATAACGGGAACCATCCAGCTTCCACTACCAAAGTGAAACATCACGTCATTTCTAGGGACACAAACTGCGTCCCTCTTTGTTGGTTGATGACCATCATAACATATATGACAATCATAACCATACTAATATTGAAACTCTAAGCAATAAGTTCTAGCTGTCTTGATCAAATGCTCTCTTCCTAGTTGCTTTAACTGCAGAGTGCAGATGCTTATTCACTGGCAAACATCGGATTTTTAGAAAAGTTGCTTAGATCCACACAGGGTTGCATGTGACGACGGTTAAATGCAAAGTTCCATTTTTCAGTGTCTTTCAGGTTCTATTCTTGTGTGGCATATACTCCCTTATTTTTATTATTTTTCTCCTTCGAAATAAAAATGTTGTGTATTCTCTTCTTCAGTTGTCCTACTTTCTACCATTTAATCTAGTGAGAAACATGCACAGTAATGTCTTCGTCACCAGTAATTACACCATAACTACAAGGACGACTAGTAGAGGTTTTGATGTGGGGTTTGATAATATGTCAACAATCTCGATATATAACGGAAGTGTTATGAGAAATCTCGAAATGACACTAGATGGTAGGCCTCAGAATAATGTATACGTGAATCACTAGCTTCAAACGCCAAAATTAAGTATCCAGTTAAGTAATCAGGGTCACATTGCCACCAAAATTTCTACTCCTGGTAAGATTGGCAGTCAGCAAATAGATGATAGGAAAAGTCGTCCCAAATTGTCAGTAACGCAGCCTGAGTGGGAGAAAGGACACAATAACGATGATCGTGTTGCACGGTTGTCATTCGTTAAATTCATAAACCAAGAATTCGAATGATATTTCTGCAGTGG